TACTGATTGCTCCCTGCAGGGTCCCAAGTATTCTTTCAGGTGACGGAGGTACATGGGAAGGAAGTACATGGTCCATTACCTGGAGAGGACTCAACAACTAACCAAAACAACAAAAAAGATGAACCCACAATCAAACTAAGATTATTTGGTCAAACACCACCTTGGCAGAAAGGACTGAAGATCAGCGGTAGGTCTACAGGCCCAGCCATAATGGTGGCAGGTACAGTGCTGGGTGGAGGAGGAAGCTGGTCCAGGAGAAGGAGAGTTCAGTAGAACATTAGAAAGCCATGAAACTGAATGAGGACCCTCTAGGAGGTCAGCTTGGTTAGTAAACAGTTGAGCTTCTCCACTGGGTGACAGGTGAAGCCATAGGATAGACTTGGCAGCTCATCCACAAGTATCATCCTCCTTGCTGCCCAAAAGATTTTGTAAATTTTCTATATAGGTGTGACTATCTCATGGTGAAGAATAAAATGAAACTCTTGAAAAGATGAAACACAAGAACCCTCGTGGATTGGAGATGAGAGTGCAGATGGGCTTGATCATTCTGAAAAACCATTTGATAACATCCACTAAGTTAAATATGCAAAACTGCATCATCCTGCAGTCCACTTCTAGATATATACAGATGCATATTCTTGTGCACCAACAAATATTCACGAGAACATTCAAGGCTGTATTGTTGATAAATAACCAACAACCGAGTGCAACATGAATGCCCATCAGCAGTGATATGTATTATTAATATTCTTTGATGTATTCATGTAATTAATTACTACATAGCGTTGAAAATGGTGACCTAGAACTACACACAGCAGCATAGATGAATCTCATAAACATTGTACTGAGTGAAAGAAACCATTCACAAAGCAACTCATAATGTTTGATTTTATTTATACAACATTTTTTAAAAGTCAAAGCTAAACAATAGTATCCATGACCAGAATAGTGGTTGGTTTCCTTTGGAGAAAAAATACTGAGGCAGAACAGAGGCTGCTGGGCCATTTGTTTACCTGATACTCATTTTGAAATAATTCACTAAGCTGTATGTTCACTTTTTGTGTACTTTTTGGAATATATGTTATAATTTGGAATGTATGTATATTTCAGGGATCAAAACATTTTCTTTTAAAACATGGAAACCTTTGAAAATAAAAACACTGAGAATCAAAGAAATAGATTGCTTGTGGGTGGGACTACCCCATACTCCAGCTGCCCCAACTTTGCAGGAGGGTGTGTTCACACTCCATAGTTAAGTTCAAGAGCCCTGGGCACAGGTGGTAGGAGTGGGAGTTAAAGATCACCGAGTCTGACCCAGGAGCTGGAAGGCAGGTGGGAATTTACCAGTTCTCTCTCCCAGCCTGGGGGCTGGGGTGTTCATCAGGGACAATTCCGTGGGAATTGTACCAAATGTAAGCACTAGATCAGTATTTGCCTGAAGAAGCCGGGGAATACATGTTCAGGATAGAAGTCAGAGGGCAAAGTTGGATTAGTGGCACCCAGTCACAGAGTTAACTGGTGGAACAGGAAGGAGGAAGCAGCTGGAGCTATGTTGCAGAGAAGTCTGGGACCTGGTTAGAAAACAGAAGAGAGGGGCTAGGGATTTAGCTCAGTGGTTCCACCGCCTGCCTTGCAAGTGCAAGGTGCCAAGTTCAATCCCTGGTACCAAGAAAGAAAGAAAGAAAACAGAAGAGTAAGTTGAAAGCTGGGGGAAGGGGGAAGGGGGAAGGGGGAAGGGGGTAGGGGCTTTCTCACCTTATGCTGCCAAGTTACAGCATGAGGAGTCTAAGAATTCTGTTGTTGTTTGGTACCAGGGATCGAACTCAGGACCTTGTGCTTTTGAGGCAGGCGTGACACCACTGAGCTAAATTCCTGGCCCAAATCCAAGAATTCTGAACTTGAACCTAACCTAGGCTTGCAAGTGGTGAAGAAGGTGTGTGTGTTATTTATCAAGGTGGGACAGCAGGACACATTTTTATGGAGCAGTTTGTCTGCCTGATTTATAACTTGTAAATGTTTGGACATATGGCAGGCTGGCCTGCATCTGTACTACTGCCTCGGGGCCTGAGAATATTAGGGACATGCCTGCCAGAGCACCACGGCCCTCCTTTAGGAGAGACTGCCTCACTCCCAGAAGCACGTCTTGGCCACTTCTCCAGCTTAGCAAGAGTCTTGTGGAACATAGATTCTGAGATGTCAATGCCAGTTATTTGCCTTCCCCCATCCCCACTAGGTACAAACTCCACATCGATAAGCATGGCTTATCAATGACTTGTGATGGTTTGGACATGCACCTCCCCAATTCATGTGTTGGAGTCTTAATCTCCAAATTACTGTGTTAGTGACATTTGGAGTTGGAGCCTTTGGGAGGCAGGTAGGGTTAGATGAGGTCATGGATGTGGGGACCCCATGATGGGCATGGGTAGCATTAGGAAAAGGGGGAGAGAGGCCCAATCTAGCACACTTGTTCAGTCTCGCCATGTGATGCCCTTCTGCCAGGTTATGCTGCAGCAAATAGCCCTCACCAGATGCCAGCACCATGCTTTTGGACATTCCAGCCTCCAGAACCATGAGCTAAATGAACCTTGATTCTTTATAAATTACCTAGTTTGTGGTTTTCAACTATAGCAACAGAAAACAGACTATGACATGGTTCATTTGTGCCAACAAAAATGTTGAACAGGACAAGGGTAAGTTTGCAGTCTTGTGGTAGTATGTTAGAGATCCCCCTAAAGCTGACAGCTCATTAATCCACATGCTTTGGAGGGGGGTTGTGTGACCAACAACACAACCACCTAACTGGTTCTGTCCTATCCATGAGGATATAGTAAAAACTGCTCAAATTCTGCTACAATCAGTGGACTAGGTGTCTGTGGCAGGGTGCTGGACTCGCTCTTCGGGTCCTGCCTACATTTGCTTGGCTTCTGGTGCTCACTGTCTCTGTCTTTTTTGCACACAATCCTCCATCCTGTGCTCCACTACTGGCTTGATGAGAGTGGTTGCACTTAGATACCTAATAAAGACAGAAGTGAGCAGTAAAAAGGATAATGAGATGACTTTCAAAGTGACCTCCGATGTTTCTGGTCTGATAGAAAAGGTGGCGATAACTTCGGGGAACCCAGGGGCAGAGGTCAGCAAACTTGATCTGTAAAATATCAAATCACAAATATCTCAGGTCTTGTACACCAGTCTCTATTGCAACGACTGAACTCTGCTGTGAAACAGCCACTGTATAGTTACCAGCTACAGCCAATAGTGTATTTTTCTGAATACAGACAGATAGATGGGCATGGCTGTGTTCCAATAAAACTTTATTGACAAAAGTAAGTGGCAGGCCAAGCTTGACATGCGTCCCCCTGTAGTTTGCACACCCCTGTTTTGAGGTATAAGTGCTCCCTGAAACTAAGCAAAGGATGTTGGGAAATGGATTACTTTTCTGAATGAGAAAAACAACCATGATAGTACTGCATGTTGTATTTAAGGTGGACCTTGGTGAGTAGCTCTGCTCTGCAGCTCAGAGCCCGTCAGAAGAATCCATTTAAATGCGACCCTTCTTGTACCCTTCCAGGCTCGAATTCACACTGAGTCCACCTTCTTCCCTTTGCCACTATCACATACACCATGCTGTCCAGCCATATGGTGCTCTTCTCTGTTTCCCACTGGTGGTGTAGAACCAGACTCAAATCCTCCTCTGCACTGCTGAGAAGACTCCATTGCTGCTTCCAGACTCTTACTTGTCCTTCAAGACAGCGTCCAAGTGTCTTTCTTTGCCTTGAATTTTTCCAGGTAACCCTAGGCTGGGTTAATTTCCCCTCTTCCATGTTCCCAGGGCACTTTGTACAGAACCATGGTTCATCAACCCAACTTCAGGGCCCTCTTCTAATTTACCTCTAATGGTTTAACCTTATCTTGTACAGTTTTGTTTGTTAATCTGCTCCTGCATTATTTGGTTGTGAACTCTTTTCAAACACAGGCTGTGCCTTATTAATCCTTGTTTACTCCTGGGTCAGCACTGAATCTGGCCTGGAAAGGGATTCTGAGCACATGTTTCCACACTTGTTTAACTCACCACAGAATCTGGTTGAGCTGAGGCCACTGGGACTCTGCGGAATGAGTCACAGTTGAGATTGTCTGCTATTTTCATAAGACAGTTTCAGTGACTTAATAAGCAAGTCTTCCTGACAAGGCACTTGGGAACTGTTCATAAATGATGAAATATTAAAATCAAATCAAGTTCAGAGGTAACTATATAAATCTCTCCTCCACCTACATCCTATGCTTCCTTCAAACCACAAGAAGTAATTGTTTTTGTTGATACCACTGTGGTGCATTATTTTGCACATGAATTTTCTCTTTCAAAGTTATCTCTTGAAAATCTCATGCTCATGTTGGATATGGGACCATGTTACGTCTTTTTTTAAATTTCTGAGTGCTTACAGATTTGATCTCCAGTTCCATTTAGAACACAGAGCAGTAATTTATTCATGGAACCTCAGTGGCCCCCAAGTGTGGCTGCAGTTCACCGAAGTGCCTTCTGGATGACGCTTCACAGAATCAAATCCAGGCCAGAACAGGGCGTGTGACGTGACATTCCAGGCTGATTGTTATGGTGTAGATCTAAAACATCCCCCCAAAGTCTCATGTATTCAGAGACGGGGCTTCTGGAAGGTGATTGGGCCATGAGGGTGTGATATTCATCAGGCTAATCCACTGTAAGTGCATAACTGAATGTGCTGTTAGGAAGTGGGGCCTGGTTGGAAGAGGCAGGTCACTGCGGCCTAACCTAAAGGGTGCGCTTCCTCCCCAGCTCCTCCTTTCTCTCTCTGCTTCCTGACAGCCGGGGGTTGAGCACCTTTTCCTGTGCTGTGCCTCTTTGCCATCCTGTTTCTGCCTTGGAGCCAGGCAACTATGGACTGAAACCATGAGCCTCTCCTTCAAGCTGTGGGTGTTCCAGAAGCAGGAAGGCAACTAAAACAATGCCTTCTCCATTGTTTATTCAGGGGGAAAAGTGAACTGGTGTTTGATATAAATACGCACGGAGTTACTTGAACCCTAGCACCCCATCAGGATTTCCGCAGCATTTACTTTCTGGATACCGCTCTTTCTACAAATGAACGAACAGGACCAAGAGGACAAGCAAGCCTGGGAGTGGGGGCAATGTACAATTCTGCACTGCCCACTGCCTCGACCCACATGGTAAGTGGGGGACTATTTTCTCTTATCCTGCCACTGCCCTAGCTGTGGACTTGTGGGGTGGGGACCAGGGGCAGTGGGATCAACATTTTGTACCTTGCACCCAGGTACCTCATAGACCCAGATGAAGTTGCAGCAAACGTTTCAGAGACTCGCCATGCCCACGACCCTGATGAACCCATGCTTCCTCTAGAACTTCACGTGGCTCATTTTTCCCAGGATTTCTTGAGGGAAACATTAGGTTTATGAGACTCTTCGTAGCTGGCAAGGTGGACTCCATCCTGTCCCAGTTAAACATCCTCTTCTTTTTCCTTTCATCTCAGTGCTTCCTTTGCCAGCCTCATTTGTTCTTCCCAAACCTGCCTCATCTGTTTGCACCTGCAGGGCTCGCAGTGACCTCCTCCCAGGTAGGGAGGCCATGGCAACACCAGAAAAGGGGAAGGAGAAGGGGTTGGAATTAGTTCCTTTTAGGCTTGTCTTTGGATGGAACAAAGACTTTTATTTGTCCAGGTAGGAATTATGTAATCAGAAGATGTGTGTGTCTTCCTTTGTTTTTCTGAAACTTTCCTGGAAGGAAACTCTCCTTGTGGTCTCAGTTGTACTGAGCATTTTCTCCCTGCTTTTGCTTGGAAATTTTCATGCTGTGTAAGTCATCAGCCTCTGAAGCTAATCAGATAATTCTGTGTAAGTTAATATACACATTGGGGTTTTTAAATGACATCCTTTGTGATTCTTTGCAGTGTGTGTGTAAGAGATATCATATAATGACATAGATAACCCATTTCAGAAATAACTGAGGCTGTGGTGCAGCTCAGTGTTTGAGTGTGACCTTGGGTTCAAATTCAATTCTTAGCAGGGGTACACACACACACACACACACACACACGCAGATGCGCACATACACAAAAACCCATAAAACAACCAAAAAAACTCGCTTTCTTCTCTAGGATGCAGTGGCCCAGGATAATGGCCCTTTCCCCCCTCCACCCCAAAGCTTCAAAGGTGAGACAGTCCTCTGCCTCCACCCCCATCTGAGGAGGTGGATTTTTTAACTCCTGTTAACATGGGAAATAATTTCTGTGCTGAATATATAATTCCCATTCCCCAAGGCTTCAGCCCCACTGCCGTGACTCCCAGCTCTGTCTGCACCCTGAGCCCAGGCCTCTCCTCCAGCCTCCTGCTGGTCACATCCACATCCACACCCCCTGGGTCCCAGGTCAGCTCGTATGAGTCCAGCACCCCCTCTGCCACCCTTCAGCCCAGTGGACCTGCTCTTCCCCCAGCATTTCCTGCAGTATTATAAATATTTCCAGTCATCCAAGCTAGAAATCAGCTGCCCTCACTCAGGAATTCTCTTCTGCCAGGGAAACAAGTCTTAATCTCTTTGTGACTAGGGTCTACAGCACCCGGGGTTAGCCAGAGAAGTGTCGTTGTGGGGCTGGGGGGAGGTAGGGGGATGGCGATACCACTCCTTCCTGCTGGTCTCCACACCTGGGCATCTGGATCTGCTCCTTTCCCTCTCCTCACACCCCAGTTTGGCCCTTTGTGTCTTTCCTGGTTCTTAGAAAACTCGAGTGGAAGTGCAGGTCAGAGCACTGGGCCCAGGACCAGCATGCCCAGTTCAAGGCCTGCTTGTACTGCATCTTAGCTGTGTGATCTGTCACACCATTCAGTCCTATCTCAGTTTCCTCATCCTTAAATGAAAACAATGCCTATGAGCATTTGGAAAGAATGAGTTGGCAAGATTTTCCTATAAAGGGTCAGAAAGTAAATATTTCTGGTTTAAGTGGTTAAGAAGCAAAATTGAGACTATCATGCAGGTACTTATAAAATAAAGAAAAAATAAACAGCCACAAAATTTTTATTAACAAAATTCATCATAATATTTGGAACTCATAAAAGCATAGAATACTACTAAGTGGCTGCTAGGGCAAGGGAGGTAGAAGAAATCGGGAGATATTTATGAGAAGATACAAATTTTCATTTGTAAGATGAATAGTTCTGGAGACATAATGTACAGCATGGTGACCATAGTTAATAATACTATATTTTAGACTTGAAATTAACTAACAGAGTAGATCTTAAGTGTCCTCACTTCCCCACTGCACACAAAGAAAGGTAGCTATGTGATGTGATGTATTAACTTGATTGTGGTCATCATTTTACTGTGTGTACGGAAATCAAATCATCATATTGCACCTTGAATACATAAAATTTTAACCTGCCAATTGCATTTCAATAAAGCCAGAAAAAGTAATAACAATTGTGGATAATTTTTTGGTAATATAGGTCTACTAATGAGAACAACGGAGTTCTCTTTGTTGGGGAAGGGTAACATTTTGCTCAGTTAGAATTTAGTGTTCCCTCTCATCAAAATCAGTTGCAGATCTCACCTCTAAGAATCATTCTTAGCTCATCAGTTGTACAGAAATAGGCAGTGGACTGTGTTTGGCCCATGGGCCATGATTTGTCCACTCTAAACAGTGAAAGAGATAGTGCAAAGTGCTCAGCACATCAGGAGGACCCAGAAGGCTTGGGTGTTGTAATTCCATCCTTCCCACCTTCCCATTGGCTTCAGCCACAGCAATACTTTGGATTTCTTTAACCTCTCTCATCTCTCTGAGCTTTCACCCTTGATCTGCCCTCAAGCCTCCAGCACTGCCCCTCCTTCCACATTTCCCCATGGGCTATGGTTGGAATGTGTCCCCCAAAGTTCATGTATTGGAAACTTAATTTCCAGTGCAACAGTGTTGAGGGGTGGGACCTTGACAAGTTGATTAAGTCATGAGGGCTCAGCCTTCATGAATGGATTAATGTGCTTATCGTGGGAGTGGGTTTGTTATCACAGGAATGGCTCCCTAATGAAAAGATTAGTCTGGCTCCCTTCTCTGCTCTTTCTCAGCCTGTGTGTTCTCTTGCCCATGTGATCCCTCCCACTATGAGATGGTGCAGTACAAAGGCCTTACAAGAGGCAGTCCCTCAATCTTAGGCTTCCCACCCTCCAGCTATAAATGACCCACTCTGTGGTATTCTGTTATAACAGCAGAAAATGGACTAAGATAGAAATTGGTACCAGGAAATGGGGCTGTTGCTAAATGTGGAAAGGGAGGTAAAGGGTCAGAGGTGGAAGAACTTGGAGGAGCAGGCTAGGTAAAGCCTACACTGCCATACATGGAGTGTTCAGGACAATTCTCCTGAGGGCGTGGAAGGTGAGAGCTGCACAGAGACCCTACATCGTCTTAGGGATTATGACGTGGCTATGATCAGAATGTTGGTGGAAATACGGACAGCAAAGGCCGTTCTGATGAGGTCTCAGATGGAACCCAGGAACAAGGAATTGGACGCTGGAGTAAAGCCATCCTATTACACAGTTGCAGAGAACTTGGCAGAATTATGTCTGTGCTCCCAGACTTTGTGGGATGATGAACCTAACAGTGATGAACTAGAGTATCCGGCAGAAGAAATGTCTAGGCAGCAAAGCAGTCAACGTGCTGATGGGCTTCTTTCAGCCACGTACAGTAAAATGAGAAGAGAGGAATGGTTTAAAGATAGATTTTATAATTGAAAGGGAGGCAGAAGATAACAGTTTGGAAATCTCTCAGCCTGGCCATGTAAAGAATTTGAAAATGTGCCCAAGAGAGAACACTGAGGGTGTGGCCAAGTGCCTGTTTGATAAAGAGATTCATAGGGGTAGAAGGGAGCCAAGTTTTATTCAACGAAACAATAAGGGGATGAAGCTGAAGTCATTTCAGAGATCTTCAAGGCAAACCAGGACCTCCATGACATCAATATCACTGCCCTGTCCCATCTCAGGATTCTGTTACCTGAATTGCAGTGCAGCAGCCCTCGCCCTCCCAGCCATGGTACAGGTGGGCCCAGGTATGGCTTTGTCTGTCTAGGAGATGTAAGCTGTCAACCTTGGCAGCATCTACATGGTGACAGTGCTGTGGGAACACAGAATGAAAAAGCTGTGGCTCATGATGGTCTTTATTTAGATTTTAAAGGATGTTGCAGACAGACGGGGGCCCAGACAAAGACTGTTGCAGGGCAGAGAGCTCCCACTGGGACAATACCCATCAGAGCCACAGGGGTACGACACTGCACAGTACCATTTGGGTGATACCTAGGGGAGTGTGGAATGGGGCAGCCGGACTGTAGGGTCACCAACGTGCAGCTATAGCCTGGGAAAGCTGCAGGAACGATGCCAACCTGCCAGGACTGCTGCATGGGCAAAGTCCTGTGAGGTCATGTGGGAAGGGCTGCCTGAAGCTGTGCATGCCCAGCTCCTGCCCCAGTGCCCAAGACTGCAACATGGAGTCCAAAGTGATTATTCTCCAGCCTTAAGACTTCATGCGGTTTTCTCTGTTGGGTTCTGTTCTTACTTGGGAGCTGTTACCCTACTGTTCTTGTTTATTCCTCCCATTTGGAATAGAAATATCTATCCTATGCCAACAGCACAGGTATATTTGGAAGTATGCATCTCACAGGTTGTGGGAGAGAAATTTGCTTCAGGATGAACCATGCCTTGAGTTTCACCCATACTTGATTCAGATGAGACTCTGGACTTTGAACTTGAGTTGGTGGTAGAATAAGTTAAGACAATAGGACCATTGAGATGGAATGAAAGGGTCTTGTATGTGAGAAAGTAATACATTTTAGGACCAGAGAAGGATACTGTGGCTTGTGTGTGTCCCCCAAAGTTCATGTGCTAGAAATTTAATCCCTGATGCTGCATTGGTGAGAGACAGGATCTTCAAAAGGTGATTAGGTCCAGAGGGGACTCTGCCCTCATGAATGGGTTAATGTTGTTATCACAGCAGTGGAATAATTATCATGGGAGTAGGTTCCTGATAAAAGGATGCTCCTGGTCCCTTCTCTGTCTTTGTCTTGCATGTGATGTCTTCTGCCATGTTACCATGCAGCGAGAAGACCCTCTCCAAAACTATGAGCCAAGAAAATCTTCTATTGCTTATAAACTTCCCAGTCTATGGTGCCTTGTTACAGCAGCACAAGACAGACTAAGACACCATCATTGAAGGACTCACTTAATTCCTCCTCAAGAAACTGTTGAGTGTGAGCCTTTATAGAGTAGAGGGCCCCCTCCTGCTCCTCTAGTATCTGGTTGTTTATTGTTTTTTCCCTGTGAGTAGAAGCTATCCATTGCTCATGAGCTCTCCAACCCTGTGCCTGATCATGTTATGTACTCAATAAATACTGGCTAAATAAATGAATGAACCTACTCTCAAATGGAAGACTCAACAGAAACCCTCCTTGATTTCCCCAGTTCCCAGGGAGCTCTTTATTCTTTGAGTAACTAAAGCATTTGGCCCTCATTGATTTTCTGAGAGAAGAAACATTATGGAATGATGACTAAGTGCCTTGGCTCTGGGCACAAATCCCAGCTCCACCGCTTCCTGGCTTTGGGTTTTGTACAAGTTACTTAATTTCTTCAAGCCTCCATTTCTTTTTTGGGAACATGGGAATCTGTCTTCTGCTGCTGTAACAGAATACCACAGACTGGGAAAGTTACAAACAGGAGAAGTTTATTTGGCTCAAAGTTCTGAAGCCTGAGAAGTCTGAGATCGAGAGGCCACATCTAGCAAATGCCTTCTCGCTGCATCATAACACAGCAAAGGCATCACAAGGTGTTGTGTTGTGGGGGGTTCCCTTCTTTTTGTAACTAACCCACCTCTGTGATAAGTAACCTGGTTCTGTAATAATGGATTGATTTGTCCACAATGACAGAACCCGCATGGTCTACTCATCAGTTAGAGGCTTCTAACTTTCCACACAAGTGGTAGAGGGTACATTAATCAGCTTCCTGTTGCTGTCACAAAATACCAGAGAATAACAATGTAAAGGAGGTTTGGCTCACAGTGGTGAGGAAAAACTACCATGGCAGATGGGCATGGTAGAGGAAAGCTGCCAGGACACAGAGAGGGAAGCGCCAGGGCCAAGAAGCAGTTCCCACCAGACACAGTGACAACGCCTCTAACCCCAGCACTGAGGGAGGCTGAGGTAGGAGGATCAGAAGTTTGAGTCCTGTCTGGAAAACTTAGCAAGATCCTGTCTCAAAAGTAAAAAGTAAAAAAGGGGCTGGGGCTGTAGCTTAGTGGTAATGCTCCTGGGCTCAATCCTAAGTACTGGCCCCCACCAAAAAAAAAAATAGTCTCAAGGTCACCATGTCCCCATGATCCACCCCCTCCAACTAGGCCCCAGCTCCTAAGTCTCCATCTCCTTCCAATAATGACATCAAGTTATGAAGCCATTAATGGATTACTCCACAGATGAAGTCAGGGCCCCCACAATCCAGCCACCTTCCTAAGACCCCATCTCCGAACACATGAGTTTTGCAGTGCATCTTATATCTACGTCATAACAGAGAGACTTTTGAAGCATAGCAGGGGACTATGACAGTACCCTTCTCCTTCATTGTTTGTGTATTAAAAGAAAGCACACAACATGCTTAGCACAGTGAGTACTCTAGAAGTGTCTGTGGCTTTGCCCATATCTATCGAGCTATGACCATGTGTTAAGCTCTTTCATTTATTTTACTCCTCCCAACTATGCCACGAGGTAGTCACTATTGCTTTTCCCATCTTACAGATGAGAAAACCGAGGCACAGAGGGCCAGGGTACAAAGTCAGGCCACCTGGGTCCTGAGGGGCACTGTTAACCCCTGTCGGTGAGTACCTTTCCCTGAACAGCCAGACATCTCTTGTGCAGGACTGGAGCCCTTCTGGAGCCTGGAATGTGTTGCAGAATTCCGCTATCCCTCCCAGCTGCTGGCGCAGCACCCTGCCGCGGTGACTCTCCACATACATCTTCCTCACATACATCTTCTGGCCAGCACTGACTCCTCGTGAGCACCTGTGTGTCTTAGTGGAGGGAAGGAAGGGAAGTAGAAAAGGAGAGAGGTAAGGAAGGAGTGCAGGAGGGAAAGGGGGAGACTGTCACTGGCTTGGAAGGCGAGAGCAGCATTAGTCGACCTCTGTCTACTCCCTGCTGCCCCGTGATGCATAGACCCATCACCACCTCCACCAAGTGGCTCTGAGGGCACTTCCAGCCCTTCCAGCTGACTCGCCTGATTGTAACGTTTTTGTCCCTCTTAATCAAAGTGATGTCATCCTCTGATTTCAGAAAGTGCAGGATAGCAGAATTAATGATGGTTCAAGTGGGCTTCTAATGGCTGTGGGCTACAGGCTGCCTGGGGGCTGCAGGCTGCTGAGCTGCTGCAGCTCAACTGTGCATACCAGGATTTCTTCTCTAACAAGGGTGCCATAAGTCTTAATTACCCAGAACCAAGGCCTCACCTTGCCTCGAGTCCCCCTGGGAGATCCCAGTGAAGTCAGTGGGAGCCTTGCCTGCAGTTCCACCCCGTGAAAACTTGCCTGCATATGTTTGCAAATTACCTTGAGTGCCTCTGAAGGAAACTGGAGGGAATTATTTATTTTTAGAATTCTGGCGTAGCCCTGTCCCCGTCTTGCCTGTCATACCTCAGGGTGACTCAAATCCCACTCCCTTTAGCTCTGATTAATCCTGCATTGTGGACCTCTTTCCTTCCTGGTTGATGGAGATACCTTGTAGGTCCTGCCCCCAGCCAAGCCGCTGGTAATGTCCTGTTGTTCCCGCCTCTGATTTAGGTGCTCCATCTAGAAAGCCTAATGCATTTTCCATTAGAGGGACTGATTTTTTCTTCCCTTTCCAGCAACAGAAAGCAATCTCCCCCATGCCAGGGATGTCAAGAGCCCCCTAAATTGCTCTTCTTTCCCTCTGGAAGTAGATGCTGGCTGTACGTCCAATGGGGCTCCCACACCCATCTCCACGTTGTCCCTGCTAATCACCCATAGCTGCTCCCTTCTCTTTCAACTTGCCCTGGAGAAAAGCGCTGCTCCCCTGGACATCCCTGGAAGGGCTGCCTTCACCCTGGGCACGGCCCGCAGACATGTCTGCCTGATACAGGGGACCATGAGGGGCCATCTGTGAGCCATGGGCCAGGCTGGCTAGACTCATCTCAGCCTGCCCTGTTCAAGTTTCCCTCTCACTCTGACAAGTTTCACCCTCAAGGACCTCCTTAAGGACCTGCTGGCCAAGAGCCCTGTTCTAAACTCGGCATACTGGTGACCATACTGGTGACCTGCCTATCCACCACATGAAGAACAGGCTTTTCAAGCTGCAGCTGTTTATGGCTTCAAGCGCCAGAGCTGGGTCTTAGTCCTCCTGGCACTGTTTCCCCTTCCAGCGTTGCCTCCCATCCTACCTGCCGCCTCACTGGAGTGATCAGGTCCTCCAGAGACGCTCCCCTCACTGGCCAGGACCTCAGACCCTCCCACCAATCCCATCATGTTAAAAGCGCCAGCTGGCTTGCCTTTCTCCCCAAGGGCTGCAAACCCTTCTGGCATTCTTACAGCCCACCACACATCTGGTACATCTGAGGCCTTCAGTAATTATCTGTTGATTGATGAAATTGAACCGATGAATGATTGAACTAGATACTTCATAAATGTTTCATAATAGCATCCAAATTCCAACTCCAATTTAATATTATATCAATATTTGCCTCCTTGTGAGTTATCTAAAGCTCTCCTAAATAGGAAAATTCACTGGGAATATATTAAAATAATTAAGCATTTCTCACACAGGTGTGTAGGAGGTTGGTTAAGGTGTCTAGAATAGTCAATGTACAAATGGGCCCTGGGTTCTGGGTTTGCATTTCACGTGGACCCTTGGCCCTACAATCAAAACCTCCCCAGGACCCACTGACCAGCCTCTGACTTGAAGCGATCCTCTGTTGAATTTTAAATCCCCTTACCTTACCCGTGCATGTTCCCAAAAACAAAACAAACAGAAAAAAACCCTACAAGTCCTAGTGCCAGAATAGCTCTGCTCATCTGAGGAAGAAACCCTTCAGTGTCAATGAACCGTGCTTAAAATCTTCCATTTCACTGCTCACTTTTCAGAAAAGCATCAGCCTGAGAAGAAGTTGCTCTTGAATGCAAACTTTGTGATTGCCAGAATCATCTAACATGGTTTCTTGCCTAGTTCTCACTTCGGAATTGGGTGTATCAGCCAGTACAGGAGCATTAATTCTCCGTGTGACTACAGACAGGAACACAAGCAACATTAACAAATTACTGCTGATGGATATGCAAATGGAACAAGGACAAATATTAAAACAGCCCTATCTCACTCTGCGGCTCCCTCAACTTGTCCGAAATTCATAGAAATAATATAATCCTCCTGGAATGCTTAGCAATTCATATAGGGTGACAGTCTTGAGGAAGCTAATAATTATCCCTTGTTAGCAAGATCAACTAACAGCAGTCTTTCACTGCAGGGACAGAAAAATATTGTGACTTGCTATGCTAAGTGAAACACAGTAGTGGGATAAATTAGGACATTTAAACTAACAATAATAAAGACATACAGCTATAGCTCCCTTCTACATATAACTGATAAAACTAACAGAAAATAGACATGGCATTAATAGAAGAATGCATTATGAATTGTTGATTGAGACACAAAGGGACAAATATTCTTCCATCACTATATTGTTATAGCTAAATATTTATTAGACACCCACTGTATGACTTTTCTCAGAAATAAGGATAACAATAAATTACTACCTGTCAACCACGTGTACTGTAACTTCATTATGTGACGAGGCAGCACTCTTATTAAGTCTTTGGAATCTATTAAAAGTTTCATTTTGAAATGAACCAAAAGGAATAAATTTATGAATTGTAGATCTCCAATATTAACCCAAAGACTCAGCCTTGGACAGAAAAAAAATTCTTAGGAAAAAAATTAATTTCTGCCAAGGAAAATCTAAGAACATAAGTTAGCAGGCCCAACCAGATGCCTCTGGTGGTGCTATAACAAAGATGAGTCAAATATATAATTTCACAGGAAAAAAATTTATAGACTAGTCTTTGAATCAGGCAGCATCCAAACACCTTCCCTGCCAGGTTCTCCATCAAATGTGTGATAAACAGCAATGGCCTTACACATCAAGATGCCCCTCTGATCTCTAATCTGATCAGTAGCATGTTTGTCACCTCTGCTGATGTATCCAGACATAACTCACATGCTCCATTCATCAGTTTGGTCTGGTTAGTGGATCTGGTAGCTTGTTTGCAAAGTTGGTTGCTTCCTGTTGAGCGGTGGAATCCAATCCTTTCTGCCATGAATCTAGGAAGGCTTTGCCACCACTTTGATCACAAGAATACTATAGAAGTAATGTTTTGGCAACCTCCAATCTCGGGCCTTAAGAGGCACTGCAGCATCTATTCTGGCTTTCTTAGAACACAGGACTCCTGGTAAGGAAGTCTCTCTTCTGGAGAGAGAAGCCCAGCCAACAGCCAGCCCCACTCACCAGTCTTGTCACGCCACCTTGGATCATCTAGTCGCCGCTGTGTCTTCCGTGACAGTTGCTGCCTAGGTGACTCCAGAAACGATCAAGCTTATTGTTTGGAGCTACTAATCCTCAGAACCATGAACAAGTAATTCTCATTTGAACCACATGAATTTGCAGGAGTTTGTTACACGGCAGCAGGGAAGGAGAAAATGAACAGGGTGATTGACACTGAAGAATTCTGTCCAGTGCTTTAAGAGTGCGATTCCGCTCTAACCCCTTCTATGGAACACTGGCCTCTAGGACTGTGTTAAATTCACAAAGCTAAGAAATTTCTTCTCACTTCTTCCCCGTCACCTCTCAAAGCAATTCACACTGAGACTGAACGTTCCACCTTCCTTTGATGATAAAAATGAGAGACTCCGGAATGTTTATTCAAGGGGGACTGAGTTTTCTGAGCATGAGATGTGTTCAGAGGCAACTTCTGGTTCCCTCCTCTGCCCGGATGAGCTCTGCTCAGCTGTGGCACCATTGCCAAGGCCTGGGGCCAGCGTGACTGGGGCCACTGGCTGCTGTACTAGTCAGGAATCTCAGAGAAATAACCAACGGGCTGTACAGTCACCCTTTGATATCTGGGTGTTGCTTCTGGACCCAAGAGGAATGTAAAAGCTTCCAGATGCCCAAGTCCCATATATAAGATGGCATAGTATTTTCATATAACCTATGTGTATCTTCCTTTATACTTTAAATAATCTCTAAATTGCTCATACTGCCTAGTACAATGTAAATGCTTTGTAAATCATTGCTCTACTGTATTACTTATGGAATGAGGACAAGAGAAGTCTGTACATGTTTGTTAGACATCTTTTTTCCTTTCCTCATATTTTGCTTGAACTTGTGATCCTCCAGCCCCAGAGAGGAACTGGAATTATAGATGTGCACCACTATGTATAGCTTTTCTAAATATTTCTGATCTGTGGTCAGTTGAATCCATGACTGCTGAACCCACAGATACGAGAGTTGACTGTATATCACCTACAAGGCAGCCTGGCAGGGGCTGGGGATTTAGCTCAGTGGTTCCGGCACCTGTCTCATAAGCACAAGGTCCTGAGTTTGATCCCTGGTACCAAAAAAACAAAAACAAAAACAAGGTAGGCTGGCAGGATGGAGATACAGGCGAGGGTTTCAGTTGAAGTTCAAAGGTAATCTGTGGGCAGAATTCCCTTTTTCTAGGGAATTCAGCCCTTTTCCATTATGACCTTCAACTGATTGGATGAAGGCTGCCTATACTATGGAGAATCATCTGCTTTATTTAAAGTCTACTATTTTATATATTAATCTGATTTTTAAAATACCTTCACTGAAACACCTAACCTAATATCTAACCTAATTTTGGGGTACTGTTGCTTAGCCAAGTTGACACATAAAAGTAACCATCACAGATGGTAAGAGATGCTGGAATTCTAGCCCCTAATACCTCAGAATGTGATTTCTTTCAGAGACAGGCTCTTCACAGAGGAAATCAAATTAAAATGAAGTTATTGGGGGTGGGTCCTAATGCAGCATAACTGATGTCCTGATAAAACGGGGACATGTGGATGCAGAGACAGACACAGAGGAGGCGGATGCTGGGAAGACACACAGAGGGGTGACTGTGGGGTTGGAGTGATGCATCTCCAATGGAAGGAAGCCCAAGGGTGGCCAGGAAACACCAGACATTCTGGGAGGCAGGAAGTTTGCGCTGGGAGCTGGCAGAGACCGTGTGGCCCTCCTGCACCTTGATGTCAGATTTCTAACCTTCAGACTGTGGGACCAGAGTTTTCTGTTTCCACTCACCCAGCCATAGGGACTCTGTTACGCAAGCTCTACGGACTAATGCAGACACCTAGCTGGGCACCTTGTTACGGGTCTCACTGGGGACTCCAGGCAGCTGCCCAGGGTGGGGGCTGCAGGAAGCCACACCACAGGCCTCTGATGGGCCCTGGGCGACAAGCCTGAGGGAGTATGGAAACCTTCTGTTAGCTCCAAAGAAGCAAGGCTGTTCCCTGGAGTTCTGGGTCACCAACGAAAGTGGGAGTTTGGGGGTTCTTGGCTGTGAACCAAGGCAGGGATCTCAGCCCAGGGATCTGTGGAAGGGATTGAACATCGTCCAGCATGTGGCTGCTGGTGTTACACATCCTTACACAGCTCTCACTAGGGTGCAGAGTCCACAAGGGCAACCCGGAAGGGTCACACTGAACTCCCAAAGAGGACACCGTCATGGGCTCTGGAGCCAAATGAATATAGGTCAGTTCTGGTGCTGCTAGGTAATAATAGCCTTTTTTATTGAATGCTAAGCACTTCAGATACATACTCCCCTTGACTCCTTCTAGCAACTCATTTTACAGACAAGACACCGAAGCTCAGAGAGGCTAACTAAGCTCCCCAAAGTCACACAGCCAGCCACTATTCTAATCCATGCAGTCTGATCACCAAGCCCTAAAGCCCAACTTCTCACCGTGGTAACTGACAAAAGCTTGCTAGGGACACTGTGACCCAGATTCAACCCTTGTACTTAACCACAACAACCAGCAGGCCCGAAGCACCCACTTCGGTAGAAGTTATTAAAAGTACCAAAGCAGCGAGACTGAGACCTGCCCTGGCCTTGTGCATGGTGTCACTGACAAGAGGACACGCTCTGGGGATAATTATGGCAGGCATGGCCCCCTCCTTCAGGAGCATGAAAAGTTTAACTTTGCCCACAGGGAAACCCTTCGCTACTGGGGACTTCACCATTCTTAATGAGCTGGTTTGTGCACTGAGCACATTGGCAGGTGAATTCTACAGACACTGAAAGAGAATGGAAAAAAGGAAGCAGGCCATTGCTAGACCACTGGGCGGCAGGTCCAAGTTGCAGTTAATCACTACCTGAGGCAAATCACTGATTAACAGGGAGCTGCTGTGCCCTCCCTCGAGCTTTCTGCAGGCCTGCTCCCTAATGCCTCACAGGATGGGGGACAAGGGCAGGTCAGGTAAAAGCGCTGTCACAGTCTGCACCCAAATGCTATCAGCCTTCATGATGTTACTAAGACACTGCATCAAGAAATGGCTTCCACATGAATCACAAAGGACGAATCGGGAGATGCAGGTCCCGGAAACTGAGCTGCCTCAGAATGTAAGGAAAGGGTAGCACCCTGGTGTTGGTGGCCTTGCTGCCCCTGGCACAGGCCTGGCCAAATACTCAGGCTGACAGTGGGCCTGGGTGTGATTCCAGGGCACAGCTGGGGTCACAGAGGGTAGGTGCTGGTGCTAGGTGTGCCAGGGGCTCAAAGCTTCACAAACAGTGGCAGAGAGGACCCCACGTGCAAGGTCTGGCAGGCAAGCACGGCAGACGCTGGTTGGCTGCTGGCGCTGTCCTAGCCGGATGCACTCTTAGCTGAGATCCAAACAGCTAGGCTCTGGGAGGCTTAATTGTGGGCAGCTGCATTAGTTTCCTAGTGCTGCCGAGAACAGAAGTTTGTGTCTTGAAGTTCTGCAGGCTGGAAGTCTGACAGCAAGCTGTGGGCACGGCTGCTTCCTTCTGAGCACTCCTAGGAGCATTTCTTGTGGGCCTCTCTCCTAGCTTCTGGAGCCGTCTAGTGTTCCTTGACCTGCACACAAGTTGCTCCAGTCTCTGCCTCTATCTTCACATGGCGTTCAAACAGTGTGCTTATGTGTCTGAATTTCTCTCTTCTTAAATCAGGACTCTAGAGTTTGGGTCTTTTTATGTTTTTCTGATGCAAGATCTCACTGAGTATTCCAGGCTGGCCTTGAACACTATGTAGCCCAGGCTGGCCTCAAACTTGAGATGATCTTCCTGCCTTGGCCTCCTGACTACCGGGACTACAGGCAAGGGACTACACCCCATGTGGTGTTGCCCAAAGCCCTATGTTTTGGGGGCTTGGTCCTCAGGCAGGGTTATGGGGAAGCTGTGAAAGCTCTTAAGAAGGGAGGTCTGGAGGTCATCAGCCATGCTGTCACAAGGAATTGTGGGTCTTGGCCTTCCTCTTCCTGTTTTGCCTCCTGGCTCTGCCTTGGGCTCCTGCCATGGTGATCTACCTTGGCACAGTCCCAACAGCAATGGGGCCAACCAGTCATGGGCAGAAACATCTGAAACCACAGACCCATGAAACTTTCCTCTTCACAAATTGATAATCTTAGGTTTTTGTTCTAGTAATGAAAAGCTGACCAACAGTGTGCCCAACCCAATGACTTTACCTTGACTTTCTTACATCTGCACCAACCCTATCTGCAGACAAGGCCACATTTACAGTTACGGAGATTAGAGCCTCAGCATATCTTTTTGAAGGGACACAATTCAGCCCATAATAACAACCCTAATTTGGCCGTTAGACTCCCTGGGCTGATAGCAGATACAGGATGGATACCATCTATTCATTTCATAGGCCCAGGTACTGGCACCTGCCTGGCAAATAATTAATGCCCAATAAATGCTGAATGAATGAGAAAGCAATAATCTCATCCAGGTCTGTATCATGGGCAAGAAACCTGAGTGCCATATTCTGGCTCCACTACTTCCTATCAGCTGGTCTTTGGCAAGTCTCTTAGCAACTCTGCGCCTTATTGTCCTCCCCTCTAACATGAGTGTAATGAACATGCAGGGTGGTAGGAAGAGAAGACAAACAGTGCATGTAAAATGCCGCGCACACAGCAAGTATCCACTGAATAGGAGGTGTTATTTTAAAAGGACACTCTAAATTTAACCCTACATGATATCTTTATTTTTTTCTTTATTCCATTTTCATTTCATCATATTGATTCTTTAAGATTTAAAAAAACCCTAATACACATTAGGCTAAGCTAACTGTATGTATCAGAAATGCTTTTAGTTTGCAGTAATAAACCCCCATTCCAAGGCCATAGTTCACATGATGTCCTACAATAATATTGGCTTCAGGTAGGGCTTGATCCAAATTCCAAATAATGCTGTTTGGGTTCTCCCTGTGTTTCTTGGACAGGCCTTTAGTGCATGGCCCTTATCAGGAGGAAATCATACCAGCCTCACAACCCCAAGAGAAAGCCATGGCCTTTTCTGATTGCGTCAGAAGAGATCCAAGAAGAATCTGGTTCTCTTATCTTGGATCCTGTGCCTATCCTAGAATCAGTCTCTATAGCCAGGAGCATAGAATATGTGAATTGGCCCGTTCCGGGTCATAGGAATAGGGGACAACAAAGTCAGGCTGCTGTGCAATGGGTTACCTGCAGAAAAGCAGAGTACTATTTCAAAAATTGCCCTGACTCTTGAAACTGCCCATAGTTCTGAAAATAAATCAGGCTAATAGCAATCATGTTTCTGGAAAAGTACTGAGTATAATTTTCAAAAACTAAGATCAGAAACCATAACTGACAAGCAATAACGCGTTGCTTCAATATGAAAATTCCTTGCTGACTCTGTAATTCTTGGGGTAGGTTTAGGGTTAGGGTTAGGGGTAAAGTTAGGGGTAGAGTTAGGAATAGAGGTGAGATTAGGGATAGGGGTAGGGGTAGGGGTAGAGGTAGTGCTAGGTGTAGGTACAGAGGTTGAGGTCAGGGAAAGCATAGGGGTATTGGTAGCCTAGGGATGGAAAGCCCTTGTGGGAGTCACAGGGACAGAGAGCCTCTGATGGATCCGCTGATAGCAGTGGGAGGTCCCTGAAGGGGGACAGGAACGTGGCCTAGTGAGGTAACTCGGTGGAGGACACTGAGGTCCCACCCAGCACTGGTGAGGGGAGGTGGGCGTGGGAGGGGACTCACGGCACTAGGCTGATGTGCCCATGCCCTGACTGAGGAGAACCTGTCCAGATCCTCCTAGCTGCCCCTCGTGGAAGATTTTTCCTTGTTAG